TTGTATTTGTTGATTTGAAATGTTGGCAGTTTTGTTCCTCCAGACACAAGAAGCGTCCAGAGTCAGTAGAAATATTTCTGTTCATCACTGAACACCACTCAGAATCAATTATGCAGTTTTAATTACTTGAAGCATCACTTTACTTGTTAGCTATAGCAACCTCCTTTGCTATCATTGCTGTTTAGTGCCTCAGATAATCATTTCAAGTGCAGCGTGGCCTTTTACATCCATATCCTGAAAGTGCATCTTTGCATAAATGTCCAAATGATCATTTTTACTTTTCCAAAATCTAAATATTCTTCATCCCCGAACCTGAAGAAAAATCTAGTTTGTGCACTTCCATTATTTTTTTACATGGAGTTGTTATGGTCTTCTTATAAGAGCTGGTGATGCAGAGGATTCTGAGCTACCTGCATCATAAAGATGAACCACAGTGGAAGTAAAGAAAGTTCTCTCAGGTGCTGCGTTCATCAATTAAACAACACACAATCTGAAAGCTTCTCCTCTGCACTGCGGTGTGATAAACACGAGGCAGCGAGACAGCTACTCCTTTCTTAATATGCATGTGTGAATAACTGTGCTAATGTGCGCTGTCTGTGTTTCCCCAGAGGGAAACCGCGGGGGACGCATCAGAGTCGGCTCTGCTGAAGTGCATCGAGGTGTGTTGTGGGAGTGTTCGTGACATGAGAGCCAGAAACCCCAAAGTGGCAGAGATCCCCTTTAACTCCACCAACAAGTACCAGGTAGGGCACGGGACTATAGTGTCATATCTCAGCTCTGTGCTGGAGCTGCTGCTGCTGCTGCTGCAAATCCTGAGACGATTCAAAACTTCATTCATGCTCACTGTCGTTTTAAACAACCTTACAAATACAAGTTCTTAAGTTTTTAAGTAAACATTAGAGCACTTGATCCTTTTTAAATGATCAACCTAAAAATGAGAATAATACGTTTCCTTGAATTCAATCTTGTTAGATTCTTTGTAAATGCCACTTAATTTTGTATTTGTAGAATCTATTGTTTGTTTGACAGTTCAAATAGACGATATTAAGATGTTTTCAAAGACGCTCGGAGTGAGTCATGCATTTATTTATTTTACTTTGCATCCGGCGGAACGCAGCCTGAACACGCACGGCCCTCGATACAAACCGCCTACTTTACATTCACATGGTTTCACACATTCATGTTTGGAAACAGCCCAACAAACCACAACCAGAGGCCTCACAGAAACAACTGCAGTGTTCCATTTCTTATTCATGTTGGAAATACACAGTTTGTAGGAATTATGAACTGGTTTTTCTTTTCGGCTGCTTAGAAAACGCTGTGTCGTACAAGCGTCACTCAGTGAAAAGACACGCAGTGGATATAAAGGAAACATGTGGAATGGTTTGGATTGAAGGAGCAGAACAGGCTCTTCAGTTCACGTCAGGTCAACAACAACTCTTAGCAAAATAAAAAAAACGTCATATTGAAGTCATCACATGGAGCTGTAGCACTTTGCTCAAAGGCGCCGCCGCAGCAATTAAGAGAGGGGGAGTGTTTCTTTGCTTCACTTTCCACACCCAGTGTTTCCCAGTTCTTCCCCCTCTGGAGGTTTGAACCGGCGTTTGAATAACGGAGCAGAGATGTTGAAGAAAACAAAGGACTTCCTGTGTGTATTTGGTGCACCTGTTCCGTGACTTAAAATAGGAACGTCTGTGTTGAGTGGAGGGAGAGAAAGAGAAAAAAAAAAAAAAAAAAAANTGTGTGTGTGTGTCTGTGTGCGTTTGGCTGGGAGCCCGGCAGGTTACAGGGAGACAGTCAGTCTACATGCTGTGTAACTGAGTGACTCCTGTAGGTTAAAATAACGGAGTGAGAAAACACAGCGATGATTTATTTGATTTGCTGTGAACATGAGGGAAGCAGTTCAACTTCAGTTGCAAGAAAAAAGCGCATGAACCTTAAATCTAACCGCATTTATCAATAAACCATAAAATGTGATCAAATCTTTAGCTGAGTTACAATTATGAACTAAAAAAAACATTTCAATAAACTGTTTTGTTCTTGAATATATTGACGAATCATACAAACGTTCAAAGAGAAAACTGAAGCTCGCTGAGATCAACCAAAGCTAATTGGAGACAGGTGTTAGTCCAACCAATGAAAGGAGACTGGAGGTGTGGCTTAGAGCCACTTTAACTCACAAACTTCACTCAGACATTTTGACTTTGCTGTTCCCAAGAAGCTCCATGATGCTGTGAACGATACTTCAACAAAAGGAATCGTGAAGGGTGGGGCATGACTTGCTGCAGAGGTCTGTGTCTGGACTTGACGTGGAGAACATCAGTGTTACGTGTTTTGCAAGTTTTCTTCAGGTTAGACACAGATCACTTGTCTGACTTCCATTTATTCACGCCACAGGGAAGATGTTTTAGATAGATAGATTACTTTATTCATCCCCAAATGGAAATGAGGTTTCTCCACGTTGCCTTAAAAGTAAAGGTACATTCAAATCAGTTCTTGACTCCTGAAAGGCAAATTGATGGATAGTTGTTTGAACATATTATTCCAACATATTAAGGGTCATTTACTAATCTCAGCGTCTCACTTGTGAGGATTTCCTCTGTTTATATCGTTGCATGTTGAATACTTTTGCATTGTGGACTGTTGGTCCAATTAAACTGGGCTCTGGGGACTTGTAATGGGTTTCACTTGTTCAGTTTTTCTGTGAATGTGTTCATGATGTCTGACACCATCTCACTCAAACTCACTCTTAATAAAAGCAAACATAACATGTCTACTGTGCGTGTCTGTTCTCTGCTCTATCTGTCTGTATGCAGATGTATTGTTCTGGATGAAATAAAACACCTACAAGTACATAGACACAATCTACCATCATCTAATGCATCAGGTCGAAGGTTTACATGCACAACCATGGATTTTCTTATTTATAGGCTTTTACACTATTTTCTGAGCAGATGAACAAGTGATAAACTGATTATTAGTTGCAGCCTTATCATCAACCGATTGTGTTTTCGGTGCGTAAAGACTTTGTGTGTGTGCAGCTTGTAAGAAGTGGAAGCGTGGCTCATTCCTGGCTTGACCCTGTGGCATCAGTCTGAGTGGTTGGTATTCCGCCTCCTGTTTTCGCTGGGAAAACACAAGGGGAATATTTGGCTGGCTGCTTATCTCCTCCGAGTCCCGCGCTGGTAGACAGGAGAACACACACTTCCAGGCCTTTGTGAAGTGATTTCCCTATGTGAACACACACAGGCACACATTCGATACACACACACACATAGAGCTCCCTCCATTCACCCGCGCTTATCTCTTCCTGGTTGTCTGCATCCTGCTACTCAGCTGGAGATGACACACACGGCGTGCACGCACGCACACACACTCGCACGGACGTGCACGAGCCCCTACGCTCACTCAAGAGTCATTCATGCTTCCTTCCAAATCACTGTTCTCGTAAAACGCTCACACACGGAGCGAAAGCTAAACAAACCTCGGTGTCCGAATGAAGCTGTTTCTTCAAGAGCGACCCGAGAGGCAGGCTTCTTGTTCTTCTTCTTCAGATACAATAGTGTATCATAGGAATGTGTTGTTCCAGTGCGTACAACACAAAATGTACATTTTGTTATGGACACACGTCGCTGAGCTCAGGATAATATGTTTACACGACAACTCTGGTGGAGCTTCTGCAGTTTCGACAACTGGATAAGAAACTTGCATCTGAGCTGAAAATTTAAAAAATGGAGAGTAGTGGTTTGTTAGGTTAACCGGTGACTGGTAATCTTCTGTTGTAATTAATAGACTTTAAATAAAGCAAAGTGACGCATCTCCGCTTCCTCATGTTGTACAAAAATGATACGATATCCCAGATACAGATGCCACCATCTTCTGACACCGTATACTGTAAAAACCAGAAAACAAAACTTAGCTGAAATATGACGACTTGGACAAACATCAGTGTGATGACAGCTACATCAAATGTCAGAAACAATCTTGAGTCCATGTCCCGTCAGCTAACATGGAGAAGGCAGGGGGAGAGATCACACACTCTGTGATGGGAAGAATTATCCGTCTCCACGCATCAGCCTTCTAACTGACCTGTGACCTCTTACCCGGTTGGGAAAGTCGACCTCTGTGTCGTTAGCTCGGCTGCTTTAGACAATCCTTTGAAACGTACAGTGTTTCCAGACAGCATGTTGGGTAAATGTATGCCTGTGTTTATTTGAACGATGACTGCGGAAAAAGAAACACTTCATCTGAAGTCTACAGCAGTGGCCGCATTTAGTGTGTAAACAAAAAAAAACTATTTGCGTTGATGTATTTGCAGAAACGTGTTTTTCCAGTCCGTGTTTACCTGACGCGTACAGGTAACGGCTCCGATTAGAGTCAAACCATCAGTGTGAGGATCTTTTCTCATGTTCAAACATTTTCATCTCAAGAGTCTTTGCCTCAGTTTTAACATCCTAGAGTGAATCTGCACGTTCATTAACTTGGTTCACAGTTTGTACGATAAAAGTTACTTTGCATTTAGTCTAAACACATCTATATATATATATATTCAGCTAATTAAAACTGCAAAACCACATTTAGATTCTAGACCTTACTGTCGATGAATGAATGATATCACTATTTGAACTGCATACGAATGTTTCTCTCTCATTATGGAGGTGAGATGTGAAGTGGCTGGCTGCAGGATGAACTGTGAACGAGCTGAACTTTGCTTCATGAAGCAGAAAATGAATGAAACCTTCAAAGTAGCAACACACAACCAAGTGTTTCGCTCTTTCCTGGATTCAGGTGTCTCCTCAGTGACTGTCCGCTCTGTCGTACAGCTGTTTCTATAGAAGTTTAACTACCACCCCAGTTATATGAGTGGACCAGGTTTATCGAAAACAGATGTACTGTGTGTGAGTAAAGCCCTCCATGTCGTGACAGCGAGCTGCAGCTACTGTTCACCCCTTCCCCCCATTCCTCAGTAGGAAGGAAACAAGAGCAGTGTGTGTGTGTGTGTGTTAGGGAACGAGCGGCCTCTCTCATATTATATTAAACAGGATTTTCCCGAGCAGAGTGCTGCTGCCACTGAGCTTCCGAAGTCTTCCTCAGGATTCCCTCCTCAGCACAAACTCTAACTCTGCGGCCGCGCTGAGAGCCCACTGTTTGTTTTGGAGCGTCATTGTTCCGGAGCCACAGAAGTCATGAGTCAGCACCGGCGTCAACCCCCACCCCCCCCCCACCTGCCACGCATTGCTCAATTATTAAATGTCTGGGTGCCTCTCATGTCACTTCGCTCTTCCTGCTGGTATTTATAGCAGCGATTATTATTCCATACAGTCAGACTACTGTTCTTTAATCTCTTACTACAGCTTTTACTTTGGACCGTGTGAAGCTACACACCTCAGTTTGTGGCGGAACAAGTCTTAGTGGTGATGTGAAAATGTGCAAAGACAGTTGTGCATGTGCAAAATGATGCACAACAACCAAGCAAAGAGCACTTTTAGAGCGATTACACCTTTTAACAAAGATCCTGCACTTTATTTCTACAAGGTACCGTTATGAGCAACAGCATTATTATTATGTTACACTTCTACTTAAAGGCATTCAAGTTTTAGAAATACTCACTCAGTCATGGGTAAACCTTTTAAATATATAATAATAAAAATACAGGGATTTAGACAAGAAATGACAGCCAGGCCAAAGTTTCGTTATAGAAGCTGAACTTTGCTGCTTTATGTTTGACTTCCATCCTCTCTCCTCAGTTCACACTCACACTATCACCTTTAATAAAGACAAATGTTCCAAAAAATAAAATAATATATATAAGAAATTGAAAAAAAGGGCTTTTGACAGAACTCTCTGTTGGTTTTTGACAGGTGTGTGTTTTTGTTGCCTGTTTTTTTTTTATACCAAATATATACAAGCGTGAAAACTTTGCAGAATGTAAAACATAGAAATGGATCATTATTATAAGTGTTATCCTACGATCAGGACAATCCGAGAGCTGCAGAATACATGTGAATACAAACATGAAGAGAAACAGAGCAGTTTATGTTTCAGTTTTTGATTAAGGAAGCCCAACTCTAACAACCCTGTAAACGGAGAGCCCACATAGCTCCACCAAGTCGAACTTCTTGCTATGTTAAAGTGGAAACAAATTCCTGTATCCACCCATTTATCCAGATCTGCTCCAAAATGTAATGGGTTCTTCCTTGGGTCACATCCCGCCCCTCTGCAGTTTTATGGAAATGTCTTTTTTTGAGTAATCCCAGATTTAATAGAAGCAGAAGTTCAAGGAGAGATCTGAGGCTCGGTCACCCTCTGTTACAAGGAGAGACCTGGGAGTAACCAGCCAGGCTACATCCGCACGTTAGCGGTCGAGAGGGCGCGAACCAGGTCAATAAATCTGAAAGGTGTTTCAGTGCAAGACAAATTCAGGTCTTTAAAAGAGAGCAACGGGGAAGAAACGCACTTGATGTGCAGCTTTCAGAGCAGAACTATCTCCTATTACTCTGATGTGCACATCAGAGCCTGGTGACACGCTGGGCCAGCGGGTGCACATACCCAGGCCACCCTGATGGTAAACGGAGACGTGTTCGTGTCCCGTCACAATGTCTGGCCAAACCCATGACCTGCAGGAGAGGAGTCTCGGTGCGACAGTAATGTGATTAGGAGGTTATACACCAGTGTTATCGCTCTGTCATATGATATCATGTTATTCTGTCTCATACCAAACATTTCCTCTGCGTCTTATCTGCTTCGGTTTATGAGAACCATTTTAACTGTGCACTTCTTGTGAAGTCGCAGATGTTCCTTTTCCTTTGACCTGAATATTGTAATTATCGACGTTTTACTTGTTACAGTTCAAACAAACACAGGGACGAAGTAACCCGGTAACTTTGAATTCCTTTGACCTTTACTGTGATTGTTGCTCGACCTCCAGTATGATGTTTTGGTATTCTCCACCTCAGGCGTTAACTTTATGTTCTTATATTTCATTTCTTAGGTTTTTGGACGAGAACACCATCATTTATATAAAATGTTCTGCATATTAGTATTAATATAGTTCTTCTTGATACCTTGATACCTTGAATATACCTTTTAAAGTATATTCCAGAGATGTTTTATCCTGTTTGCTTGATCATGTGAATCCTCACGTTCTATTGTTCATGCTGCTGTTTGCTCGTCTAAAATTTAACCCTTGTTTCAAAAATATCTTACATCGGTATTTTTTTACTGTGTCACAGAAACTCGTCCATTCAAAGAAGAAGATTTTAATCATGTCGGATAAAAAGCGTCGGCTTGTACGTCTCTATTTAGGATCAGTCTGGACGTTATTTCCAGGTCGTTTCAGACGTCCAGTTGTTCGCCTGACTGCTCTACCATCTGTTTTTATCAGTGTTCATGCATGAAGAAAATTAGCCTTCCCATAGTCTGCACACACACACACACACACACACACACACACACACACACAAACTGAGTTGGAGGGAAGCACAGTGTGATGTATCAGTG